TGTGGGAGATTTAGGTTGGATATTAGGAAAAACTTTTTCACGACGAGGGTGGTGAAACACTGGAATGCATTACCTAGGGACGTGGTGGAATCTCCTTCCCTAGAAGTTTTTAAGGTCAGGCTTGACAAAGCCCTGGCTGGGATGATTTAGTCGGGGATCGGTCCTGCTTTGAGCAGGGGGTTGGACTAGATGACCTCCTGAGGTCCCTTCCAACTCTGATATTCTATGATTCTATGATTCCAGTCCCCTAATTATTTTTGTTGTCCTCTGCCATACTCTCTCCTATTTCACTGTTAAGCCAAGCTGGTTGCCTGCCATATTTACTATTCTTTCTACACATCGGGATGGTTTGTCCCTGTAACCTCAATAAGGATTCTTTAAAATACAGCCAGCTCTCCTGGTCTCCTTTCCCCCTCATGTTATTCTCCCAGGGGATCTTGCCCATCAATTCCCTGAGGGAGTCAAAGTCTGCTTTTCTGAAGTCCAGGGTCTGTATTCTGCTGCTCTCCTTTCTTCCATGTGTTAGGATCCTGAACTCGACCATTTCATGGTCACTGACTCCCAGGTTCCCATCCACTTTTGCTTCCCCTACTAATTCTTCCCAGTTTGTGAGCAGCAGGTCAAGAAGGACTCTGCCCCTAGTTGGTTTCTCCAGCACTTGCACCAGGAAATTGTCCCCTACATTTTCCAAAAACTTCCTGGATTGCCTGTGCACTGCTGTATTGCTCTCCCAGCAGATATCAGGGTGATTGAAGTCTCCCATGAGAACCAGGGCCTGCGATCTAGTAACTTCTGCGAGTTGCCAGAAGAAAGCCTCGTCCACCTCATCCCCGTGGTCCGGTGGTCTATAGCAGACTCCCACCACGACATCACCCTTGTTGCTCACACTTCTAAACTTAATCCAGAGACTCTCAGGTTTTTCTGCAGTTTCATACCAGAGCTCTGAGCAGTCATACTGCTCCCTTACATACAGTGCAACTCCCCCACCTTTTCTGCCCTGCCTGTCCTTCCTGAACAGCTTATATCCATCCATGACAGTACTCCAGTCATGGGGGTTATCCCACCAAGTCTCTGTTATTCCAATCATATCATAATTCCTTGACTGTGCCAGAACTTCCAGTTCTCCCTGCTTGTTTCCCAGGCTTCGTGCCTTTGTATATAGGCACTTGAGGTAACCCGCTGATCGCCCCTCTTTCTCAGTATGAGGCAGGAGCCCTCCCCTCTCACGCGCTCCTGCTTGTGCCTCCTCCCAGTATCGCACTTCCCCACTTACCTCAGAGCTTTGGTTTCCTTCCCCTGGTGATCCTAGTTTAAAGCCCTCCTCACTAGGTTAGCCAGCCTGCTTGTGAAGATGCTCTTCCCTCTCTTCGTTAGGTGGAACCCGTCTCTGCCTAGCACTCTTTCTTGGAACACCATCCCATGGTCAAAGAATCCAAAGCCTTCTCTCCGACACCACCTGTGTAGGCATTCGTTGACTTCCACGATTCGACGGTCTCTACCCAGGCCTTTTCCTTCCACGGGGAGGAAGGACAAGAACACCACTTGAATCTCAAACTCCTTTATCCTTCTTCCCAGAGCCAGGTAGTCCTCAGTGATCCACTCAAGGTCATTCTTGGCAGTATCATTGGTGCCCACGTGGAGAAGCAGGAAGGGGTAGCAATCTGAGGGTTTGATGAGTCTCGGCAGTCTCTCCGTCACGTCGCGAATCTTAGCTCCTGGCAAGCAGCAGACTTCTCGGTTTTCCCGGTCGGGGCGGCAGATAGATGACTCAGTCCCCCTAAGGAGAGAGTCCCCGACACCACCACCCGCCTCCTTCTCTTGGGAGCGGTGGTCATGGAACCCCCAACCCTAGGACAGTGCATCTCATGTCTTCCAATCGGCGGAGTCTCTTTCTGCTCCCTTCCCTCAGACGTATCATCTGGTCCACTCTCCGCATTAGTACCTGTGGAGAGAACATGAAAACGGTTACTTACCTGTATCTGCCCTGCTGGTACATGGACGTTCCCCTTTTTTCTTCTGGAGGTCACATGATGCCAAATTTCTTCACCATCCTTCTGTCCCCGATGTGCAGCCTGCTCCGAATCTTCAGAACCTTGTGCCTGTAGAAGCCTATCCTGACATCCATCCAGGAAACCTTCAGTTTCTCTTATGCAACGCAGGGTCAGTACCTGTTGCTCCAGACCTTGAGCCTTCTCTTCCTGTATGGAGACCAGCTTGCACTTTGTACAGACAAAGTCGCATCTGTCCTGTGGAAGAAAGACAAACATAGCACATCCAGTGCAGGTCACAACAGCTGAACACCCCCCATCCATATTACCTTCCTTCTACGAGCTTCCTCAGGAGTTGTAGTAATTACTCAGAGAATCTGGCAAGATGTAGGCCTCAGTGGGTTCTCCCCAGGCGAACTCCCAGGCCAACTCCTTTTGTTAGCTGCTTTGCTGTTCGCTGCTCAGCTGGTTCGCAACTGACTGGTTCGCAACACAAGACTTACGAGGAGAGGCAGAGGGAACTGGGATTGTTTAGTCTGCAGAAGAGAAGAATGAGGGGAGATTTGATAGTTGCTTTCAACTACCTGAAAGGGGGTTCCAAAGAGGATGGATCTAGACTGTTCTCAGTAGTAGCGGATGACAGGACAAGGAGTAATGGTCTCAAGTTGCAGTGGGGGAGATTTAGGTTGGATATTAGGAAAAACTTTTTCACTAGGAGGGTGGTGAAACACTGAAATGCGTTACCTAGGGAGGTGGTGGAACCTCCTTCCCTAGAAGTTTTTAAGGTCAGGCTTGACAAAGCCCTGGCTGGGATGATTTAATTGGGGATTGGTCCTGTTTTGAGCAGGGGGTTGGACTAGGTGACCTCCTGAGGTCCGTTCCAACTCTGATATTCTATGATTCAACTGAGCCCCCTTTAAGATCTGTGGGCTTTAGGGTGACCAGATGACAAGAACAAAATATCGGGACACATGCAGGGGCGGCCACAGGCTCACCCCCCCACCCCCACATACCAGGGCCGGCTCTAGGTTTTTTGCTGCCCCAAGCACAAAAAAAAAAAAGCTGGAGTGCCACCGAAGCAAAATATCGGGACAAATGGTGTCCCGTACATCGGTCGGGACGTGGGACAAACAACTAAATATTGGGACAGTCCCGATTTTATTGGGCCATCTGGTGACCCTAGTGGGCTTATACATCCCTGGTACCTGTGTGGTATCCCAGGAGTGCTGCATGCCACTAGAGGGCAGCCGCTTCCCATTCCCATGGGAGCCTCTATCTCTCAAGGGGAAGGCTTGAGGGGAACCTGGATGCTCTGTGAGGCAGCCAGGACTGGCTTCTCTGTGCATGGGCAACTTACCTTTTGAGAACTTAGAGGAGTGAGTGTCCACAGGACCGGAGGCAACAGCGATGTGTCCCTGCCCTGGCATCTGCGGAACTGCCCTGTGCACCGAGCAGCAGCAGATGAGCATGGAGACCCCCACAGTACCCATGCTAATCCCCTCCAAGGGCTGGGCCTTGTCACGGCCTACATACGGGTGGCTGTCCCCCACTCACTGCTGGCCATTGGTTCCGCATGCAGGCGAGCCTTCCCCGATTGCCAGGGAGCTCCAAATGGGCTGGAGGTGGAGTTGGTCAGCTCACCTACTTGGTGTGATTGGCTGGACTCTGCTCCACCCATGGACCCCTGTGAATCATCTCCTCCCACTGCTGTTCCCTACCCCCACCCTGATTTGCCTGGGTTGGCCCAGCTGGAAGCGGTGAGGACGTTGCTGGCACTGCCTCCAGTGGCTAAAACCTGCCTTTGAGGGACTGGCAGCATATGCGTGTGGATGGGCTCGTACATACTGTCCTCTCTTTTCAGGGGCACAGGACCTTGGCAGGGGATGCCTCTTTTCTTGCTTTCTTATTCTCCACTCTCTGTCCTAAGTCCACTATAAAGTACACTATCTCCCAGCCCTAATGCTGACCCCTTCCTCCCCTCTCCTGTTACTGTCAGAGCCATGGGCCAACAATTGAATCCCCAGGAAGGGAGCTGTAAACAATCACCTCTCCCTGCATTTACGGACCCACGCCTTTTCCCTCATTTTCCCCTTTCCATTCTTTTCTGATGTTTTCCCTCTTGCCCCCTATTCCCATGTAACCCCTTCAGCCTCTTTCCTGCCTTCACAGTCCCTGGCACCCCCAGCTTCTCTCCTGCTCCCCACATTACTCCTGTCTGCTCAGAGTTTCCTCTTCACTCCCTTCGCCGCAGAGTGGCAGCCATCTTCCTTAGGGAGGGCCTGGCTTTAGTCTGACTGGAAACAGCAGGGGGTAATGACTGTAGGGAATGGTGGGCAGCTTGACTTTAGCCCCATTCAAAGCAATGGGAGTTGGTGGCCATTCTGAATAAGGGAAAATTCATGAGCGGGAAGGTGGGAACCATGAGATCATGTATAGACTTGGACACCAGATATTGTGACCGGCAGTAAAACTGTGAGAATTGGTGGCACTGCAACCCCTACTGATCTACTACTCCAACCCAAAAACAAGGAAGAAAAGGGAGGAATAACACAACTCCCCAACAACAACAGAGGCAGAAGGGCAGCCAGATAAAAGACCCCTTGAGGGAGAGCTAGAGGCTGTGACTATGGGAGGAGTCTCCTGACATGAATGCCTAGCTCTTATACAGTGCTCTTCTTCAGCAGATCTCAAAGCGCTTCACAGTCTTTAATGTATTTAAAGGTGAGAGGTGGATGCAAATCACCTGGCCGCTGAATATGCGCAGCCAGACACCGGGGTGGTTAGAAGAACACAGCAGGAAGCGCTGCGCATGAGAGAGGCTTTGAAAACCAGTTTCGTGACTGGCCAGGGTACTGTGTGATACTTCTGTTTGTTTCTCCTTGATTCAAACCCGTCACCTTGGTTGCCTCTAAATTCCCTGTAAGCCACCTGCCCTCCCCCTTTGATCACAGCTTGCTTGCAAAGGAAATAAAGTCACTATTGTTTAAAAAACATGTATTCTTTATTACTTGATTATAAAAATAGGGAGATAACTCACAAGGTAGCCCGGTTTGGGTGTGGGAGGAGGGTAGGAGGGAAGGAAAAGGCCACTTTAAAACTTGTTGAATGACAGCCTTCTGTTGCTTGGGCTGTCCACTGGGGTGGAGTGGTTGGGTGCCCGGAGCCTCCCCCTCCCCGCGTTCTTGGGCGTCTGGGTGAGGAGGCTATGGAACTTGGGGAGGATGGAGGGTGGTTAAACAGGGGCTTCAGTGGCAGTCTGTGATCCTGCTGCCATTCATGAACCTCCACCAGACGCCGGAACGTGTCCGTTTGATCCCGCAGTAGCCCCAGCGTTGCATCCCACCTCCTCTGATCTTCCTGCCACCACCTCTCCTCACGTTAATTGGCCGCTTTCCTGTACTCTGCTATTGTGTCCCTTCACACATTCTGCTGAGCTCTGTCAGTGCCGGACGACTGCATGAGCTCAGAGAACATTTCATCACTTGTGCGTTTTTTTCGCTGCCTTATCTGAGATAGCCTTTGGGATGGAGGAGGGAGGCTTGAAACATTTGCAGCTGCTGGAGACAAAAAGGGAGTGAAGTATTTAAAAAGATACATTTTACAGAACAATGTCTATACTCTTTCATGATGAACAACACTATTCACATTACATAGCACATGTGATTTTGGTACAAGGTCGCATTTTGCATCTTATATTGAGTGCCTGCGGCTTTGGTGTTAGAGATCACACATGCAGTGCCGGGCAACAGAATTTGGCTTGCAGGCGGCCATGGTAAGCCATAGTCTTTCAGCTACTGCAACCTTGGCAACAGCAGCGCCCTCCTCTCCCATACCAAGCAAAGCCCATTGAGTTGGCCATTTAGTGCTGCGGTTTTCCTGTTAACGTGCAGCAGCAGAAACCAAACTAACTCCTCTTCCCCCATCCAATTCTCTGGAATGATTGCTTTACCCCTCACCGCACCGCGTGGCTGGTATCAGGGAAGATCCCTGCTAGCCAAACGCAAACGGCTCAGTGCCAATGGCCCCCGCCTCCCACCACGGGGCTAACTGTGGAGAGGATTTCTTTTCAGCCACAGGCAAACAGCCCAGTAGGAACAGCCACCTCTGAATATCTCCTTAAATTCCCCTATTTCAACCAGGTTACCATGAACGATATCACTCTCCTGAGGATAACACAGGGAGATAAAGAATGGATATTGCTTGAATGCCAGCAAACACTGAGACCATGCACTGCCAGGCTTTGTCATGCAATGATACCGGATTACTTGCTACTGGCATGGCATGGTAAAGTGTCCTACCATGGAGGATGGAATAAGGCTACTGTCCCCAGAAACCTTCTGCAAAGGCTTTTAGAGTACCTCCAGGAGAGCTTCATGGAGATGTCCCTGGAGGATTTCTGCTCCATCCCCAGGCACGTTAACAGACTTTTCCAGTGGCTGTACTGGCCACGAATGCATCCCAAGTCCTCAGGGCTACTTAATCATTAAAAAACACTTGCTTTTATAACATGTATTATATTTTAAAAGGTACACTCACCAGAGGTCCCTTCTCCGGCTTCATTGGGTTGGGAGGGTATTTCAGTCAGGGTGATAAAAAGATCCTGGCTGTCGGGGAGAACGGTGTGCTGTGTGCTCTCCTCAAGCTCGTCGTTGACCTCCTCCTCATCTTCCCTGTCCGCAAAATCCTCAGGCGTGGCGAAGAATACCCCATCATCAGAGTCCACGGACAGGAGTGGGGTAGTGGTGGTGGACCCCCCAGAATTGCATGCAGCTCAGCGTAGAAGCGGCATGTCTGGGGCTCTGTCCCAGAGCGTCTGTTTGATTCTTTGGTTTTCTGGTATGCTTGTCTGAGCGCCTTAAGTTTCACGTGGCACTGTGTTGCGTCCCTGCTATAGCCTCTGTCCCTTATGGCCTCAGAGATGTTTTGGCATTTCGTCTTTTGGAACGTAGTTCTGATGGCACGGATTCCTCTCCCCATACAGCGATCAGATCCAGTACCTCCCGTTCGGTCCATGCTGGAGCTCTTTTTCGATTCTGGGACTGCATGGTCAACTGTGCTGATGAGCTCGCCTGGCCAAACAGAAAATGAGATTCAAAAGTTCCTGGGGCTTTTCCTGTACACCTAGCCAGTGCATCCAAATTCAGAGTGCTGTCCAGAGCAGTCACAATGATGCACTGTGGGATAGCTCCCAGAGGCCAATACCTTTGAATTGCGTCCACAGTAACCCTAATTCAAAACGGCGATGTCGATTTCAGTGCTAATCCCCTCATTGGGAAGAAGTATAGAAATTGGTTTTAAGAGCCCTTTATGTTGAAAAAAATGGCTTTGTTGTGTGGACTGGTGCATGGTTAATTCGATTTAACGCTACTAAATCCGACATAAACTCATAGTGTAGACCAGGCCTAAGAGACAGGATCTTGTATTGTGTCCATGTTAAGGAGATTAGAGAAAGGTTTAATTTACAATGTCTTTTGCTCAATATAAACTGATACTCTTTATATTCTCAAAGGTCTCTGTAAAAGACGGTTTGTGTGAATGAGGAATGCATGCATCAGGAAAAGATAAAGTGTGAAGGCCATTTTTATAGCCAGATGGTTAAGGAAGAAGGAGTGAAGAGACTTAACGACACCAAAGAACCATCAACGGGCATCCATAATGAAGGAAGGGCAGACTGACGACCCTGAGGTGAAGGCTGGCACCCCTAAAGACAGGACAATGATTAAATCAGAACCAGGAAAGGATGTACTGGACCACCCATTGACAATGTTTACATCAAAAGATACCCAATTAAGAAGTAACTGGTCACAAACTGACACAACAAAATCCATAGACTTCAACAGAGAAAAAAGACTATAAGAACAGGGTGCTTGGCCATGGGACTTTGGGTTTGTCTTGCCACTCTCCAGGAGCATTGGATCACGACTGACAAAGCCCTGCTCCCCTCTGCGACCAATCTGGCTGGCCACTAGATTGATCCAGACTCTGGACTGGTAACTATAAACATCGACTGGCAGGACTGGGTGCATGGGGTGTGTGTGTGTGTGTGTGTGATTGAAAAGTATATGTTAACTGTTGTATTCTCAACAAATGCGGCGTGCTGCCTTCTCCCCTATAAAGATCCCTTGTGCTTCTTATAAGTATAACACCAGCAGGGTGCTCAGGTGCTGGTATCAAACTGGTATCAGTGCAAAGTCCTGCCCTGAAGAGCGAACCAACAAAACAGTGTAGGAATGAAGGGGGTGGGCAGCCATGGAAACCAGTGCCTTTGCAAGGGGAAGCCGAGCCCAAGGCTGCTTGGCTGTGTTTTTTTCCCAAGAGATTTTTTATTTTAAAGGTGGAAATGAAAATGCTACCTAAAAGCATACCCAGCCTTAGATTATAGCTAGCAGGGAACCTCTGGTGCCAGGATTGTGTAAGGAGGAGGATCTAGGGTGACCAGATGTCCCAATTTTATAGGGACAGTCCTGATATTTGGGGCTTTTTCTTATATAGGAGCCTATTACCCCTCACTCCCTGTCCCGATTTTTCACACTTGCTATCCGGTCACCCTAGGAGGATCTGAGTGACCTGGGTGTGGCTAGGATGTGGGAATGGGGACTCCATAGTCCTGGTGCAGGAAATGACAAGGTGCTTGGGCTTTATGCAGGGGTCAGGTTGCAGGAGGTGAGGTAGAAAGATGGTAGTATTCCTCCCAGCTCGGCCCACCAAATAAACTCCTCTTGTCACAGAAGATTGAAAATATGTTCATGATGTTGCCGCTTGCCTTTCCTGGGCTCCTTGAGTGGCTCTCTCTTGCTGGGGCTTGAATATGCACATGGTCTCTGGGGCGCCTTGGTTCTGGATCTGTGGTGGGGGAGGAGATAAGTGATGATAACTCTGAAACAGCTCCCCTGGGGCACAGAAATGAGACATCACTCAGTAAATTGTGTAGCCCTATGCCTCTCCCTCACTTTCTTACATGGGGGATGAAATAGTTAACAGGGATACTTTAAATTATCCTCACTGGGCATCTGAGTTAACCCCTCAGTGAGATGCATGGGGAAAGTTTAGACCTCTCCGAGCGATTGTTCCAGGCTTGCTGCAGACTTCTCTCTGCTTTGGTTACTCGATTCACATTTTTGTGGTTTTCATTTTTTTTTAAAATGAAAACTTGAGATTCTGGAGAACAAGATACTAGCTTCGGAGAAGCGCTGGTATCTCATATGGGTGCATACTAGCTGTTTCTGAGCTGTTTTGTGGAGCTAATTACAGTGACGCTGGCTTTCTGAATATCTTCTTGGGCTGTTCCTGTGTGGAACTGATGGGAAGCTTTGTGTGTCCGTAAGGTCGTGGCTTGTTTTGTGGCATTTTACAGGAGAAAATTTTTGCTAAGAGGCAAGTTATTCAGTTAGACAGATAATCACCGGGGGGGGGGGGGGGGAGGCTAACTTTTGGCTTGCAGGTTTAAAAAAAAGTCTTAGGCTAGGATTTCCAAGGAGCCTAAGGGAACTGAGAACTGAATTTAAATGGGATTTGGGTGCCTAACTCCCACGGGCTCCTTGGAAAAAAACAATCCAGGGAATGCACCATCTTTTCCAAATCGTTTGGCGGGAGGAGACTCAGACCCAGTTTCTTTCAAAGTTTCTGCACAGTTTTCTCCATTCTCTCCTATTTTGGCTGGCAATGGGCCTGCTCTGTACCTTTAGAGATTCTTTCAGAATAACATCCTCCTGTTTTTGTTGGGTACCTGAAAATCTGTAATGGACAGGACTTCAAAGCTGTGCACAAGTGCTCTGGGAAATCGCTCAACATTGCACTTCCCTTACTGTAGCTCCTCTGGCAGTAGACATGGTGGGAGTGCTTTTGTAGGGGTTTTGCCACTGTTTTTAGCTAATCCTACTCAAAATATGTCTAGAAATGGTGGTGAAAAGCCTTGGCTGCTAACACCCATACCATGGCTACCATCAGAGAAGCTGCAACTGATGCTGGTATATTGGTGGAAGATTTCTCAGTCAGTTGTGGACAAGGCCTAAGAGCACAGGACATGCTTCTGATATCTGATTCAGGGAAATGTTGTAACCCTGTCTCGCATAAAGTTGAGAAAGCTTGCTGAAGTATTGACTCAATCTTTAGCATGAGGACAACATATAAGGTTTGATTAGAGCCTTGCAACTCATCTGTAACAGGATGAAGTTGAGGTTCTAATGTGATTGCAATATATCAGCTGTGATACACAAGGTTGGTTGTGCCTGGTATAATGCAGTTACCGCTGATAGTGTTGTCAGGTGTTCGGTTTTTGACTGGAAAGTTCGGTCATAAAGGCCAGAGTAACCGCAATCAGGTTCCCTGCCAAGAGGGCAGGAAGAGTCTGAAGGAGCAGGATCCTGGAGGAGCTGCTTTCTGCTCAGCTGCTGAGGGAGAGAAGTGGCTATCTGGCTACCAGACCCAGCTCCAGCATCTCCGTCAGAGAGGTAGGTGCCAGTACTACCTCTGCCTGGGAGGGGGGGATCCTGTCCACCCCACCTCTGCCCCACTGTATTCCTATCCCTGCCCCTTGTTCCGGGGACTGACTCCCCCTTCCCCCCCCCCCACTGTGCCCCTGCCTCAGCTCCTCGCTCCAGGAGCCAACTCCTTCCTCCACCCTGCTGTGCCCCAATTGGGCAGGCAGGCAGGCTCCACGTCAGCTCCTCCCCACCTGGCTCTGCAGGCGGCAGGTGAGTCCCGGGACAGGGGGGAGTGAGTGACGTGGGGGAGGGGGAGCGAATGATGGAGGGAGATGGGTAGGGGAGTGAATGGGGAGCAGGGCCTGGAGAAGAGGTGGGGGGTGGGACCCAGGGTGTCCAGTTTTCAGCAATTAGAAAGTTGGCAACCCTATTACTGCAGCGTACCTCTCAAGTCCCCCTTCCCCCCAGAAGCCCCTGTAACTCCTAGAGATCCCCTAACTAACCTGTGTTAAAGGAAGTCCAGAGGCTCCCTCATTCTGTTGCTTTGGGGTGGGCTTTAAGTGAGGGTCATCACCTTCTAATCCATCAGGGTCTCCAGGAGGCAAGAGCAGCGTGAGTCCCCATAGAGGAGCATAAGAGAGGACATATTCCCTCTCTGGCTGCAGTCACTGTTCCACATAGGGAGAGGTAGGTAGGGCCTCATTATCCCTTTCATGGTATCCAGAGAAACCTCAGCAGCTCTCTAGCAACCCTGCACCAGGGAAATGAAGCCCCTTAATTCCGAGAGTATAGTTGCGATGGCCTATGTTGATGCTATCTGCCTGTGTCTCGGTCTAGCGGTGACTGTCATCAGACAGAAGGTGTTTTCTCCATCTGCAGTAATGGGGTGGGGGTGCTAAGGTCCCTGGTTCCCAAGAAGAAATGGGGAGCAGCAGTAGACTGAGGGGTGTGAATGTTCCATCTGGATGTTCAACTTGGTCTCCAGGTGAACTTACAGGAGTTGCCTACTGTAGGGCTCTTTCCCCCTCTTTTATGTTCCTTTAATTATTCCATCAGCTGAATGTTGTATTCTATTTTGAAGATCACAGGCTAAATCTCACTCCATTTGCTTCTACATGGATCTCTTACTGCTCTCCGGTAAGAGGGTCATTCTGAGAAAATGGAAAAAGGTGACCTGTCTGCTCCATGAGGATTGGCTTTCTTAAATGGCCAACACTTTCTTGATGGAAAAGCTTTCATTTGCAGACAGTAATAATGATAAAATGTGGCCCTTCTGTGACAAGCTAATTGCAGGTACTGAATGAATTTGTCTTTTTATATTTAAGGGCCCTCAGGGATTGGCACATCACTAACCTCTGCGACAACTGGCTCCATGTGTAATGCTGCCTTGCGATTTTGATGTGAGGTTTATAATGTTTATATTTTTATGTATGTACATCTCCCCATCACTTGATTTTAATGTGACATTCGCAAATCACTGATTTCCTCTTGATCTGAAATTAGTTCAGCTGTTCACCTAATATACTTTCTCTGAAAATGCACGAGAACAGAATGGACTTTATATTTCATGTTCCATTTAAAGAACAATTGTGGTACCTAATATCTAAGAGCTGGGTTCTGCCACCCTTACTGCACGAGAAGTCTCA